ACTCGACGTGAACCACGTCGTACGACGTGCATGCTTGTGCACGTGTAAATTAAGGAAAGATTCCAACTCGAGTGCTGGGAAACAGTATGCGCAGATAATAATATCAAAGGCTACAAGTAGCACGTGTTTACATTTTAGATTTGAACGGCTATATCTGTTGTATTAGCACGATGCCTGTGGACATTGCAGTTAATAAAGAGTTAAATCCGTCTTACTCTTCTCTTTACAGAATTACCTATAGGAAAGTTTTTGTAATTTTTTCTAACGAAACGTTTCGGGAATTTTTTTTCTAACGGAGGTTTCACACCTTTCGTTGAAAGAAAAGCTAACATTCTTTTTCGGAAAAGATCTGAACAAGCGGAAGAGAAAAATATTTTCGGAGGGTGTTCGCGCGGCTCATTTGTCGTCGACTTTCTGACTCGGTTGCATTGACGAACGAGCTCCACGAAGAAGAAGAAGAAGAAGAAGAAGAAGAAGAGGGAAGAAAGGGTTGGCGTGGAAGGCTACGGTGCAAAAAGGAGCTTAAAACGTGAAGAAGCGTGCGGTGGAAGCCGACGAGGAGCACAGCGAGCCGAAATAGAACACCACGCCCTCTAGTTTACCTAATTGCTGCGAGCTGCGGTGAACTTGTCTCCTAATTATTCTGTGATGAATGGTGAGAGCACGAGTAGAAATGTGCGATAAAACGTGGCTAATTTTCATTCGTTCGGCGTTGCACGATTTCACACTCGTGGCCAACTACCAGGATAATTAATCCACACGCGTAAGTCATACCCATTGGACGCTTCAGAATAGACAGATGGCTAGATCTTTTGTCATGATCTAAACCATCGTTCACTTAGATTAATATCGTAGACTGCAGAGATTTCAACGAAAGATGTCTCGTTTTACTCTTCAAGGAATTGAAAATGATTTTGAGTCTCGAATTAGACCATTATACGTTTGGTATTCAACGATGGTGATATCCCTACTATAATTACTATATCTGATAGACAGTTGCAAGATATATTATGCGTTGAAGAAACGACCAAATAAATCGTTTATTAAAAATCATAAAAGTGAGCCGGTAAAAAAGGAAAATATCTTTTGGACGACTTTACTCGTTCGCGAGGCAGCTTTTGCAAAGATTTACGCGTCGCGTTGACGGCTTTGTAGTTGGACGCGACGTCCCACATATCTCAGTTGAAAAGCACGGCGCAAACGAGAATTGTCCTTTCCTTAGATCTCGGATTTATCGCGGTGACCATTACGTTGTGTAAATCACACAAGACAAGGGCCCTTGGTAGAAATTAGTCGTCGAGAATCTAAAACACTCTTGGTAAAATGGAATTGAGCTGAGCCAACTATCGATGCTTCTTCGTACATTATGGCGTGGACATATAATAACACCAGTCCAGTAAATGGATATTCTGTATGAACTGAATCTATGACTCTAAGGAATTAATTCGCTATAACGATCGTAATACGGTTGTAACTAAAAGATGCATCGAGAGATTAAGATACGTAAAGAATTTCTTATTAACGCTGGAAATGGAAACCAAATAGGATCAACCCATGAGATATCGCCGAATGTTATCCGTTCATGGTGTATTTCTTTCTTTTTTTTTTTTTTTTGTACATTCTGTACGGTAGGGATACGAAGACACATTTTGCCGCATTTCCATGGCAGAATTAGCAGGAGACAGATAAATAGTGAACGAAGAGCAGGAACATTGAGTGGGCGTGGACCCTGCAGGAAGTAATGGATCAAACTCACAGTCGTCCGCGCAAACTTACGAATTTGTTACCACGTGAAGGAAGCATGTGGATTCTGTAACAATTACTCCCTTTCACGTTGGTAACAATATCCGAATTAAGTGGAAACAATTACCCATTACTACGCAACGTGTAATAACTGTAAAGTTGGGATACAAAGTAATTTTAGAGTTGCGCGCTGACATCGGAATGTTTGCGTCAACGTATATTACGGATTTTACGACATGTTTTACTGATTACATACTTAGAGTTTTAATGAGGAATCTCTAGGTAATGAGAAGCAATTAAAACTTAAAACGATGGCAGCGCAACGAATGATTAAGACTTTAAAAGAATCATCGTGTGTTTTCGAATGATCGGCACGGTATTATTTTAATACCGACTTCTTTATTGTACTATTGAGATATCTTAGTTGGTCGTGCAATTTAAGGAAATATAAATACCACAACAGATACGATAAGATGTTTTAAATAATAGACTTTCAACTGAAATAACTCGATAGTTTGCCGTTTGTTGAATTAAGACATTTTCCGAGCTTTTACCTCTGTGTTTTCATAAAATATATAACCAATATATATCTTTATATATATACCTATATATGTGCCTTTATTAACCAAGTAATTTGACAAAGCAAATACAAGTGTGCAACACCTGTATAATTTGTTGAGTTACGCCGTATAATCTTGCAAAACAGTGTCTACCATTAAATCGAGTATCGCAAACGCGATTTTATAATGATTTCATTTGGATACGTTTAACTGATAAATGTTTGTGGAAACATTTAATTTTATCGCATATGTTAAAATCGACGTTCTTCTTTGTTTCAGTAGAATCGCTCTAATGCATTTCAATTAATTTTCATTGCAAATCAATTGTAATGCGGGCATAAAATTTTCAATTCACCTTACCATAACACATTTCTGGTTCAGGGGTCGAGCAAACCAGATCCACATCGTTAAATTCGATTTCTTCTGCCATGGACATGGAGGAATCTGGCGCTATCAATTTCCGTTCCTCCGAATCATTTGCTATTTAAATGAATTTCATTTTTTTTTTTAATTTGCTTCATTAATCTTCGTAGAATGAAACGGAAATTTTGGGCGAACTTACATTCGTGACCTTGCAAATACGTTTCGGTCTGAATTGATACGCGAGTTTCCTCTTCGACAGGTTTCTTACTTGGCGCTAAAAGACTTTCGATACTGAACGAGCATACTTTCGGACTTTCATTCAATTCCATCGATTCTCTATTGGTTTCTGATGTTTTCGCGTGTTCTTCCGACATTCTAAATTTCGATCGTTCTCAAATGCCTGACGCTATCATTTAGATCTCCGTTCGATGTTCCGATTGATTAGATATCCACTTCAAAGTATTTCAAAGATACGTATCTAGTGCTTTTTTAAGAACCGATCCTTTAAAAATCACTGCACATGTCTTCACTATGCTTATCACCATCGCATCACAATCACTACCTGTTCGTACAATGCTTCTCAAATTTGATTCGTCGGTAATTAACGAAACATTTTTGATTTTATTCTATGAAAGACAGAATGATGTGACTAATGAAGTTGCAAGTACGAGATCGATTCAGATCATTCATAGATATCCGTGATCCGTTCGCGGGATTAGAGTCGAAACCAGCGACTGATTGTCGGGGTTGCTCGCGATGTCCAACAATATTTTTTTTGGCAACCAAGTCAAATTCTTCGTTCTTCGAGGCGGCGACGAAAAGCCACGTGCTCATGACGTCATTGTATGTTCAACCAATCCTATGTAAGTTTGGGCGGTTCTTGGCAAGCACGTGCGTTTCTGAAAGGAGCCCCTAATGATCTCGTACAGCGAGACGGTAGCAGTCACTAAACGGTGGTAATGAGGTACCCATAAATTTCTGTCACCGCCATGAAACGCTGTTTAATAACTGTCTTGACAGAAAGCGAACGCAATATGATATCAATTTTCAATCTGTTGCATCTGCATCGAATATGAATTTAGAAATACCCTGATTATGTCAAACGTCATTTCAATTTCGAAAATACGAACGATTAATTTCTTTTTAATATTCTAATAATTCGATGACTGTATGATGAGTCATATTCAAACAAGAAAAACAGAGGAATTGTAGATAGTAGATGCAAAATATGTGTAATACGTGTGTATAGTTGCAAATTTGCATATAATGACCGGGATGATAAATTGAACGTCTTAAATGTATTATTAGATCTGTATTACGATTCTATAGAAATCTGAATTCCCGTAATTCGAAATAAGCGATAAGTTTGTCATCTATCTATATGGTAAGGTCAGCGTACATTCGCTCATACATTTAATGAGATTATTAGACGCACAATTGTTTATATTAACAGAACGATGATAGGGATGATAGAATGATACAAAAAGTGTTGACAGATGCGAAATTTGGCTACGTTTATGCGAACCAACGAAATACACTGCAGAAATTTGTTTCGCACTTCAGCTAGCCAAATTGTGATTCTTCTGAATAAATCAGAACCAGATGATATTGGCTTAGAGTTAGTTCTGATTCAAATTTATTTATATCCATCGCGTTTGATTTATATTAATTTTCTTACGTTTTGATTCGGTGCAAAAATAAAAAAGAAAGAACGGTATAAAACAACTTCGAATTTTATATCTTCAAGTATGAGGAATACATTGTAATCGAACATAGTAGACAGTAAAAGGAAATAACTAGTAGGTGTGTCCGTAAGATCACATTACTTAAACGACACTCCTCTCGCATGTTCTGCAATATGTTACGTTGCCAGAAAGCTGACACCTTTGAAGAAACAAGTCAGCCAAAATGTTTGTTAATTTTACGCTTAATTGGTGCCACAATCGATAGCATCAAGGTAGTAAGGGTGTAAATTATCGATTCCTTCGAACGTGTCAACCGCAAAATAAAACGGTCGAGACACTTCTCTGGCATTTGTCTTCCATCGTTTCCTTGAACATATTTTTGGAATCATATTTCGTCAGACGAAAAATCACACGTCATGATTCCATGTTCTCACCGTTGTAATAAACTGTCGTGTATCATCTTACCAACTACTTGGCGCCATTAATTACACGCCGCACAGAACCGAAAAGCAATGAACTTAAGATGTTTCTGACAGAGTGTAACAACAGGAAAACTCAGGATTTGTGTAAATTTTATATATATATTTTTATTATTTATATAATAACAGAATAAAAGCTTTCTATATAATCGATACATTTTGCTTTTATCGTAAAATAAAACGTAACGTGATCACTATTCTTAGTACAATTCTTGTTACTCGAAAATATATCGTAACTTTGATTAATGTGATAGAACAAAATAATTTTTATTTTAAGAGGAAATCTCAAAGCATGTATAATATAACTTAAAACCCATAATAAGTTCAATACTCGTACTACGAATATAAGGATGTATATTCCATATCCTTTTCAGGATGTATGCTTATCTGTCATATAGTAGTTGGAAAACTGCGTTTGGTCCTTATATCATTTGCAACTTATTAAAGTATATTATCGATTTAATATTTAATAAGGTGATAAGTAAACTTTCCTGTTTAAATAAAATGATTCGTACCTAACGTGTTATCGTAATTGATAATTGATATCGTGATTGTAACGTAACACTTAATTGCAGTGCGACAGAACAGAAAGATATAAAAGTTTAATAAAATATACTTTTTATCGAAGATATCGTTTCTGTTGCATATCTAAAATTCTGATTAGTGAAACAAAGTAAAGCTCATTAGAACTTTATTGATTTATAATAATCTACATTTGTTGCGTTGAATTACCATTCCATGTATTATTCTCATCATTATCATCCCCACCTGATTGTAGTCTATGTACATTTCCTTCAGTTTTGATGGTTGTACTTCCTTGATTACCCAAATATCTTCTAACCAAACTAAATGTCATAAATCGTTATCGCCTATGTCCGTATTTCACTTACATAAATATCCTCATAAACATGAAACCTACCCTGATGAACTGGCAACATTCTGAAGATTTTTAACTGTACCAGCTGCTTTGTCTTCTGAATCGTTATTTTCAGTAGAGTTATTTGGTTTTTTCGGTGTTTTATTGCGTGTACCTCCGGTAAAATATCCTATCACGTAATAGTACACAGCTGTGAAAATTGAAAAAGTGGACCAAACGAACCGTGGTAAAATACCAACATCTTGTGTAGATGTCACAGTTGTTGTAACGGTCGACTGAAATAATAAATCGACGATAATAAAGCATCTCGCGAATACGATGAAGAATGTGAATATTTTATCGAAGTATAAACTGAAATTACGTTTTTCAAAGGCAGGATTAGGATAACTGCTGTAGGAACCAGTTCCAATTCTAAAAGAGTTTTATCATCATCTTCATGCATTAATTCCCGTCTTGGAAAGGAGGTAGACATCGCAAATTGACGGAATGGTAAATTAATATTCTGAACAACGTAAGTACGCAAATCACGCAAAGTACTTGATGGTTCAAACTGCGCGATATAAGGATTGCCAGATGGCAATCGGAATTGTATTCTACTGACAGTTGCCGTAGATATCGATGGTTCAGATGGTTCTGAGTTATTACTTTGTTGTTGACTTTGTTGCTGTCCTTGTTGTTGTCCTTGTTGCTACATTTGACAAGGATACATTTTTTCTATATATAAAAAAATTAATTTTATGAGCTTTTTTCGAAAAAGAACATACAAACCTGCTGCATTGCTAATTCTTTTTGTTTTCTCTCTAATTTATCCTGAGCAATTTGTTGTAAAACTTTCTCCCGAGCTGCTGCATCAGCAGCTCTCTCTTTCATTCTCTCTTCGTAAGCTTGTTTCATTTCTAGATCCTGCTGTTTTTGCCGCATTTTTTGTATGTCACGACCGATTTTACGACGTTCTATTTCACTTTGTCTATTTTTCATTTCCTCCTCTTCGATACGCTGTTTTCTTTGTAATTCTATTAGCTGTTGTGCTTTTTTTAGTTTTTCCTAAAGATACACAATATTTTAATTTTTTTTTATCATAATGCTTTAAATAAAAAATTTTTATGTAACCATACTTCTGGTGTTAGTTCTTTAGTAGGTGTCTCCTTTGTTTCATTGACTGGTTCTGATGGTTCGCTAGTTTTTAAGCTTGTGGATGGTTCTTCCTTAATATCGTTCTTAATTACATTATTATCCTTATCCTCTGATGTAGCTTGAGTTAATGGTGCTTCTCTGCTTGATTTTGGTATGTTATCATTATTTTTATCTACGTCAATTTTCATATTAGCATCAGTAGCACAACTGGCCACAGTAGCTTTTTGTTCTGCATCTATCAGATTGACAGATGCATTTTTATTTTTTCCTACTTTTGTTAAAACTAAGTCAATTTTAGTAGCTAAATCAGCTGCTGTTGTGGTGCCAGCAATAATTTCCAAAGGTGCACCATTTTCACCAATGAAGAATAGGGATGGTACAGGTACCAGTTGATCTGTTGAAAAATACTTAGGAAAATACAGAATTTTGTTGAAATTTGAACTTGAGTTATTTTATCAAAGGATACAAATCTGAGCAAAGAATCTGTAGGTTTCAGATCCACTTTCCAATCGAATTGCTACAAAATCTTCCTGTTCCAAGCGGCAAGAAACTTCTGTAGCATTGATTGCTTCAGCGACTTGTGCAGATGTGTCATCTTTACCTGTAAATAGATGACAAGGCTATTTGTCATATAACATTCATGATACAAACAAAACATAATTATTATAATAGGATTTGAAAATAAAAGGTAATCTGTAAGTATGTTACTAATTAAATGAAATGAAAAACAATTTAGGCGAAAAACAAGTAATAACAGATTAAATAATGCCTTAACCTAACATTACAAATATATACCTTCAATGAAAACGACAAAAATTGCTTTCCTTGATTTTGATGTTGCCACTGCTTCATTGATGCTACCTTTAAACCACTTCATGTTTTCTGCTTAAGTTCAGGATATTCGTGTTCTATTGTGCTATCAGTTGATAATGACGTAATGAAAAAGTGAGTTCAATCACTAGAAATTTTCTGTAGAACTTGACGTTTCAAAATCTACGTAAGGTTTGGTTAGGTAACTATTGAATTGTATTAATGAATTGGTCCATTGTATTGAGCATAATCGTCCGTTTGTCTTTACATTAATTCAGTAAGGTATATATAAATAGCTGTAACCATAATATTGTGTGAATTTGCAAAAATAAGCCTTGTGAAATGCAAGTCAGTGTCACGTAACGCTATTGTAGACAAGTTATTCGCAAATTGAAGGTAAGCTTATTGTTAAATCGATGAAAATACTGTTGATTGTAACACAGCCTTTAAGTTTAGAGGTTAAACAAGAACCAGTGGACATGAACCATTGTAGTGTGACCAGTGTATAAATAAGGATGCGAGTTAATGAGTGAAAAAGATATAAAATTTATGTATGAACCATTTTGTTGCCTTTGTCTCGAGAATAATACAATTAAGTAATGGCTCATTTCATGAAGAAAGGTAAGTATTGATGCCATTTTTTCCTTATTATGGTTAAGATGAATGTGGAAACTGGAAGCGGTACGGGTTATTTTGTTGGCCACACTGCTTGTATCGCCATGTTTCTTACTTTCCGTTTGTTTGCCAGAAGGAATAGTGGAATAAAATGTGGTAATGGCGAGTGCGTCTGTTCCGCATATTTGATGTTGTGATAAAGTTGGGCGTACGCGTCCGCCTTATCAGTCGTGACAATTTTTTTTCTTTCGAGTATGTCTACTTAATTTACGTGTATATACGTAGGTTTTAAAGAAATATAACCGGCAATAAAAAGAATAAAGTGTCCAGTGTGTGATGTCGGTGATTCATTATCGGAATATGGAAGTACACGACAGATAATAGAAGATAATCATATTATACGAAATAAAGTTTATAATTTTATATATTTTACAACACGTGCACTTCATCCATCATATTCGACTTCCAAACCCTCAAAGAGAATTTTAAGTACACTATTGTATTAGAAATAATCAATACGTGCCCGTAAACGTATAACAAGATAATATGAAATCGGAACGAGCATGAAGGTAACTGTGTGTTTCGACAACGTTAGAGTGGTGGTTCCTTGTGGAGATGGAACCCTACTGGTTAAAGATTTAATGCATGAGGCTACTTTAAGATATAAAAAGGCAACTGGAAAAAATGATAGTGCATTAACTATAAATAGTTTGTCCTCCTTAACTGGAGGTGGTCTCCTGGATCCAGATGATAGGTTATGTGATGTAGCTGATGACAGAGAACAGATTGTTGCTCATTTTGTTAATCCTGATGTTACACATGCTGGTGGTGATGGGGCAAGTTCAGTTGGCACGAATAGCCCAGACTTTTTTCATCCAGATAGTAAAGAACCACCTTATACAATTGATGCACATTCCTCCATTTCTGTAAGCGGTATTAAAAGGGAAAGCACCAAAAGATTGTCAATGCATGCATTGTCAACCAGAGAACCTTGTTTAACCACATATTCTGCTCAGTCCCTTCCCAGAGAATCTCGGCGTAGAGAACCACTGGGACAAGATGCCAAAGTGTCATTTAAGTATGCAAATGCTAATATAGAACCAGGAGATCAAGGAGAAATTAGAGAAATTGTGATAAAGAATGAAGCAGGACCACTGGGGCTTCATGTGGTGCCATGTTATGATTTATTGGGTAATGATCAAGGACTTAGAGTCGAAGGTATTGAGCCTAATGGCAGAATTGCTAGAGATGGGCAAATTGACCTGCATGATAAGATCATTAAAATAAATGGACACAATCTATTGCATATACCATTTTTTAAAGTGCAAGAGATCTTTCGTACCTGTATGACAGAACCATGTTTGCAAATTTCCATAGTAAAACATAAGAAGCCGCAAGAAAAATCATTGCATAAAAATCATGGCAATACTAGTGGAGGGTCAGAAAAGGAAATTGATGATAATGTTAAAAGACTTCAATGCAGTAATTACAATTTGCTACAGACAGCTAACACCCGTAAGATTGGACGTATGATAGAGATAGAATTAACAAAAGGCAGCAATGGTCTTGGATTTAGTGTCACAACACGCGATAATCCTGCAGGAGGTCATTGTCCGATATATATTAAAAATATATTACCAAAAGGTGCTGCAGTTGAAGATGGCAGATTAAGATCTGGGGATAGGCTGTTGGAAGTAAATAATAAAGAAATGACTGGTAAAAGTCAAGCAGAAGTGGTTTCACTTCTCAGAAGTATTCTACCTGGTGGGAAGGTAAGGATGGTAGTATCGCGCCAGGAAGAAATCTCCTCTAGTATTCCAGACTCTCATTCTCATGGTACTTCCACGAGTCAAGCCTTAGAAGCTACAGATAATTCAAAATATTGGAATGCATTGAATACATCGCCGAAGAAAAAGAATACAGAAGTGCAAGATAAACTTAATACCCATAACTATGATAAGTGCACTTTTAAACCAGTGAAGTCTACAGAAGATATTGTTTTATCACCACGTAAAAATCGCATGATTTTAACTTTAGACATACCAGTACACGATTCAGAGAAAGCAGGATTAGGTGTTAGTGTTAAGGGAAAAACTACTAACACAGATGAAAACACTAACATGGATCTAGGAATTTTTATTAAAAGTGTCCTTCATGGGGGTGCAGCCTCAAGGGATGGGAGATTGAGGACCAATGATCAATTGCTCAATGTTAATGGGGTGTCATTACTAGGATTATCAAATTCAGATGCAATGGAGACATTGAGAAGAGCGATGCTCAATACAAACAGTTCTGTAACTGGGGTGATCACTCTTACAATAGCCAGGAGGATATCTTCGTACGATGGAAATGATAAAAATTTATCAGAGAATTTGTCTTCTCATTGTAAACTGGAATCAGCTAATAGTATATATATTTCTGATTCTACGAAAGGCAATGAAGGCAGAGTAAAAGAAAAAAATAATTTGAATTCCCAGTCAGACATCTTGGACAACGGCGGATTATTGTCTTGTGTGACCGCCTCTCCATGGAATCCAGTTATCGATAGATTAACAGAACAATATAATAAGAATAGTTTAAGGAACGAAAGTTACTGCATCGCTACCAATAAAACGTGGATAGAATCTGCTAGTAACGTGAAGAAGATTACGATAGGACAGCGCGACGATCGCGCGGAACCAGTATTGCTAGAAGACTCCAATGATCCACAGTGCAATGAAGCTAAACGAAACACAGATGATAAAGATAGTCAGTATTCCGGAGACCCAACTTACGATAGTCAATTATCCTTGGAAGAATTTAATTCCTCTTCCAATAAGTTTTCGCGCGACGCTTTAGGTAGACAGAGTATGTCGGAGAAGCGACACGCCGCCTTAGATGCCAAGAACACAGATACTTATAAGAGAAATAAAAAATTACGGGAAGGACGCGAAAATAAGAATCAGGAACAGACCAATCAGAAACATTCGAATCAATCGGTTGAGTCAGAGGATCCAACTAAACGAGGGTGTAAATCGGACATTTACGATAAGAATAAAAATAAAGGCACTACTGACGGTAGAACGGCCAGTGAGAGTAGTATGAAACGATACGAAAAGTCCGTAGATCCTGCTCAGTCAGAATACGTATATACTATACCTGGATGTAATAATAAATATACATCACCGAGGAAACATTGGCTTGTTGACGATGTACATGGCGAGATAAGGAGTAGCAATAATTTTAAAGACGATCGCAAGGGTTTTCCAAATAGTCGGGGGGATGTGAAACAAGCATCTCTCAATTCAGCTTTAGATGATCGATATAAGCGTTTGCGAAAGAAAGGTGGCATACGTTCGATGCTTCGATTAGGGAAGAATAGGAAATCGCTCAATTTCGGTGATAGTATAGAAGCTCGTCACGAATCCAGTAATTATTGCAGTGGAACGATTAATTATATCGCATAATATACAAAAGGGAATTTATAACGTAGATACGGAATTCAAGATATACATAAACATACTTGTGCATAACACCTAGAAAACACATATTATACACGAAATATACACATCTTAACACTCTCATTGCACGTGCGCTCGTACATGTACTTACACACATATATATTATGTACTTAAATATGTATGATTTGTTCCAAAGTGCCTTATATCATTGCAAAACAAAAAAATTTATTCTGTATATATACTTATATAATTTTTGTATTTGTCTTTAATTCGTACCGATCATGTATCTATTTTTAAAATAAAACTATGCACGTAATATAAGCAATGTGTAAGTTGAATAACCGATAATTTAACGAAACGGGAACTATTATTGATATTCATTAGACTCTTAAAATGTATTTGATTATAAATTTTATAACGCTAAAATTTTCTTGCAAATTTTAATTTATATCCAAGAGAAGCAATGTTCGATACAAACAGCATGTTGCCAAACCTGGGTGAGTTACGGTATGGTACATTAATTAAATAGATGGCAAAGAAATTTATCTTCATTACAAGTACAATATATGTTTCTTCTGTTCTAGCACTTCAGTTAACTCCGAATCAATTACTGTACCAGCAGAAGCGTTACAGGGGAAAGATAAACATTAAAAAGCCGAAAATATATTTTAAGAAAAGAGTATTGAACGATCTTTTAACGCCGTTCTTTGTCAATCCCAACAAAGGTAAAACTCTGGAACAATTTTGTATAGAGTCACAAGAGGTACAAGCCGAGAAACAGTTGGGCCCTTACGATCAAATAATAGCGAGGGAAGTTCGTAATTGGTTTGACAATTCTAAAATGATTGGTTGCTTGCACGTAAACAGTATGAAGCAGCTGGATGTATTCGACGTTCAAGTTGCACTTTTCAGGGAAAATATGCACTACAAGTATTATGGGCCTCATATTATAAACCATGTCATTAAGAATTCACATTACAATGCTCTTGCCCCGTTAGTTAGCAAGTATACTTCTTTTGTGTTCAGTCCTGAAATAAACACGATTACTTTACAAAAGATTATCAAGAAAAGCAAGAAAATGTTTATAATGGGTACGTAATATGGAAATATGATTGCAGAGTGATTTTATTAGTCAGTTGATATTTTTGCAGGGGGAGTATTGGAAGGACAAATCTTGAACTATGATGATTTTCTGAAATATGGAGAAATGGATATTATAACGGCGCAGCTGGGTTTGGTTCAAACATTACAGAATGCAGGAGGCCTTAACCTGAATCGACAACTCACACATCATCAGACGACGCTTGTAACACGATTGGAACAGATCGGTACAAATGAGACAACCTCCAACGATAAGAAATGAACAATCGGTGCCTGTATAATTGCAAAGCTACCTGTATCTATAATTTATTATATGTTTATGATGCACACGAAGCATTAAGTAAAGTACAAGTTATTCTCCCGTGCCCTTTATCACTACAAAAAATAAGAAAGATTGTTGGAAACTGAGGTGTCTACCTCTTTATTACTTCTTATTACTTCCAGTTCCATGAAGGACGGTTCCGCGATAAGGTTAATCGTTGAGCAAGCAGCGTGTGTGTGACATATACGCATGTAACTTATCAGTACCAGATTTATCGGTTATCAAACTCGTTATTAAATACATATCAACCCATTTGACTAGTGGTTTGCTCCGATACAATAACTTCGACAATAGTATAAAAATATTTTGGTTAATGGTGCACTGCAGTCCCTTTGTTTCATTATATGCACCGTTCTTTGTACGTCGTTGCGGTAATTGTATCTTCTGATGGTTCTCAGTGACAGTAATTGCAACGAGGATGACACTTGACTCCATTTTCTCCGCATCTACAGCCTCCGGACGTGTCTCCCTTTCCCTGCGAATCGCCCAAAATACGATCAATATTTAAACAAAACAATCGAGTCGCAACTGCATATATTAATATTTCAATATCGAATGATGATATTGTCACGTATCGACTACTCACTCCTGGACCCCAACGCGGGCCTCTTGTTACCCAGCATATCTCGGTCTTGCACATTGAGCAGCGTAACCAATCGCAACCCCATTTCTTCATCAGAACAACCGCACACGTGGGACACGCGAGTGCTTCACCTCTGTCCACCATTTCCTCGAGCATCTCCGCAGTTCTTCGCGATTCTTGATCCGTTTCTTTTGATAATCTTAGTTCTTGCTGATACTGCTTGCAGTTTTTACCAGTATGAATGGCCTATGGAGAAAAGATTTCTTTCTAATTTGTTTTAATGCAATATAGTATTTGAATTCCACTTTTCATGAACGAAGTATAATTATTAAGTTTTATTTTCCGACCTGACATGTGAGACAATTGTTTGCGCCGCATACAGGGCACAGGAAGTTGTTCACATCGTCGTCGTAGATGCACCAACCAGGACAGTCAGGAGTTTTACAGTGGAACGCGTTGTTTCCAGCATTATTCTCCGCTTGAGCGATTGATTTGGCTAAATGTTGCTGATAGATTTCTGGTTCAACGAGCTAAATAATCGTATCGTATTAAATTTTTTCTAAGCACTTATTTTTACCAAAATTTGAATGGTTAACTTACTGCTTTAATTTCACGTTCTTGGAGAGTAGACTCACAGGTGTATTGTGAGTCTCTGTAAGGACATTTCACTTCGGCTTCTTCGCAGTATCGAATCGTATTAACAATACATGACCTAGGAAAAATTACTTGCCGATAATGTGTTATAACTTTATTTCAAATTTAGTCAGAAGTTAATAGTATACCTGCAGAACATATGTAAACAATCCCTCAAAATCACTCCTTCACGAGGACCGTATGTAACGAAGCATACGGGACATTCGATCGGTTCGGAGTTCGGTATGACGTCACAGTTTTCCAAGGAAATTAATTCCTCGTATCTATCCATCTTCACTTCCACTGGCGTATTCCTCTCCTCTGTCCCCTGCAATTTTTGTTATACTTTATAGAAAAGATTTCTATATAAAAAAGGTAAACAAATTTCTAGAAATTGTTTAGTACCTGAGGTTCTTTGACTTCTTCGGGATCTTCTTCCACAATTTGTAACACTTCCGCAGACGTACTTGTATCATCGTTTATCACATTTGATACTACTTCTGCAGCATTATCTTTCTCCACTCGTACCATATTTTCAGGTCTTAATTCTGCAACCAATTAATTATTAAATATTCCATTATACATTTATTGGTTTGCTTATTGTTATTACTATTTATTTTATTAGCTTACCTATTATTATTATCATTACCTGGAGCCACGAGGTACAAAAATACCGGAGAGCCATTTACTGCCTGTAATTCGTTTAGAGTCGCCTCATCGCGATCAGCTAAATTTTTACCAATGATCCATCGTTGCACGTTCGTCGGTATCTCGAATTCCGTGTGTATCTTTGCTTTCAACTCGGCCACCGTCATTCTGCTGGGCAGCTGTTATTATATTTGGGCTTAGTACAGCATTTAATATCGTTATATGGATTGGCAAACCTCGGCCATCTTGATTTGAGTAGGTAACGCTATTTACCTGAAGTGGTATCGGTCCCTGGTGAGCAAGCTTGTCCTCAATGTACATATTGACTTTAATCAACTGATCTTTGAGACGGGCTGATCGTTGCCGAATCACGGAACAATGGATCTTAAGCCGTGCTAGTTCCTTTGCTAAACCAGCTGCTTGTTGGTGATGACCAGATGCAATAGCTGCCTCTAGCTTTCTGAGTAATCGGTTTATGGCCAGCGTGTTCATATTCTTTTCCGCTGAATTGTCATCTGTCGCAAACAGAGAGAAAGCACAAGCGTTAAAATGGTAGCAGGGAAAAACGCGTGACATTAAGCAATAAATTTAGACAAATGATTCATTCAGAAAATCCCGCAACTATCTAGGACAATCAACTAAATCAAAGTTACCTTCTTCACTACCTTCGAATGTATCTTCCTTCGTAATGAATTTTCGTTCAATTACGGGCGGTGTTTTCGGCATTTCACTGGTATTATCAATTTTCGTAACGATATTTCGCTCGGAACCAGTATGTTTGGGCGAGGGAGTAACACGCGCATTCGCGTAGATCGATTGCTCGATCACATTAGCGTAAGTGTTTTCGTTGAACGCGGGTGTTCTCGTCGTTTTTGTTGCTTCGATTTCAGCAAAATCTCGTGGTCGTATGAGCTGGAACGTATTTTTCACCAATCCTGAACCACCTAAATTCTTCCCTGATGTTTTGTATAGGACGTTTTCTTGTTTCCAACCCGAGGTGGACGGTTGTTCCGCGGATGTAGAAGGCTGATTCAATCTTCGTATATTTCCACTAGTTTGTACGGAACACGATACCTTCTGTTTGTCGGGCTCGTAATCATTTTGCAGCGCTATATTCTCGACCTTCGTTACAGCGGAAACGAAATACGTAGTCTTGCTAGGGCCAGCCGCTACCTCTTTTTCCGGAGCCAGTTTCTCAGTCACGTCGGTGTTACGTGTCACAATCTTGCCCGGCTTCGAACGCTTTGGTAACGAGTGTTTCATTTCCTTCAACATCTCCTTTAAATCCGTTGTAATTGGATCCTCGATGGTGTTCAATAACGGTGACCTGGTCTTAGTCGATTTCGTTTTCGCGTTCGGTTCGGTCGGACGAAAGGTATCCTCGACGGCTATCGATTTTTCTGGCAGTATGCCGCTCTTTGTCTTGGCGTCTTTCTCCGCCTCGACTAGGATATCGAGCACTTTAGTTACCTTACTTGATATTCCGGCTTCTTCCTCGTGAACTTTACTTCTCTGATTAGTGGCTGTCGCGTTTGTGCGGGCCGCTCTACGATCAATAAGCTCCAACTCTTTCATACGCAATTGCTTGTCGATCTCGTCGAATATATCCGAGAATTCTTTTTGAACGCCATCGATACGTTGTCTGTCCAGCTTCTTTGGTTCCTCAAAGATGTTTAAAGTTGTGTGTTCCTTAGCTTCCACGGAGCTACGAGGAAACAAGGGTCTTCGTTGGTCCTCGTTACTCGCTTTTGTTTCCTTTTCCTTCTTTTCACTGGAGACTTCCTGTCTGGATCTAATTTTTTCCTCCATTACGGACATCGCGCTATCCTTCTGAGCGACCTGATCGTTCATTCTATTTGCAGCCAGTTGACTCTGCAAGAACGATATTCTGTTGGAAGTTTCACTGACCAGTCGATCTCTCTGCTCCTTGATCGAACTACCCTTTGCTCCCGAAACTTTCTCACCCATTTCCGTATTCTCTGACCGATTTCTAGATGTCTTTTGTTGTGGTGGAAAGTATCTAGATATATCTTTCTCGATGTGACTAGCCTGTCCGCTTGTAGACTGAACCGAAAATCTTGGATGATCCTTCCAATCATTAGCATGCTCGAAGGCCTTCGCATTTCTCACCACGTCTCGTTCAAACTTCGCCGGCTGCTGATCCCTGGCGTTCCTTGCGAAGAAATTGGCATTCACCGTGACCTTGGTTATGTTACTGATGGCGTTGAACTTGGAAATCAGAGCTCGCGTGCCACGTCTGGGCGACGAACTTTCCATTGCAGACGTGACGATGTCTTGAACGAGCTCCTCGTTCATATCGTTCCTTTTTTCGAAAGCATCTACGAATTTCGAAGATTTCAATAGCATCGAGGCTCTCGCTCGTGCTTGTTCTTCTTGTACGATCGCTGCGGCTTCTTTGTCAAGTTCGCTGATATTCGTTAAAATCGACAGGCCGGATTTTCGTTTTGCTTCCTTCTTCCTGTCCTCCGTTTGTCCGCCACGATGGAAGAAGCTCCGCCTAGACAAAGACGCGTCCACGGAGTAGCTCGTGGAAGAAGCCGTGTTCGTGGCAGCACATTCTTCTTTTATTTCGATCGTCGAGCTTGTTGGCCCCCGGAGGACATCGCCCCTCCTGGACGCTCCGGAATCCCGAGAATGTTCGAAGACGCTCCGTTTATACCAAGGTCGTGGCATGGCGGTGCTCAGAGTCCCAATACCGGGCGCCACAGTCTGGTTGTCTTGAAGAACAGCGATGTCCGACGAACTGGCACTCGTGTCCTTCGTGTTCTTCTCCTTCGTACTTCGTTTCAATTCCCTTTTCGGCATTAGAACGCCTCCTTGAAGGACTAGCGTGTCGTTGCTCAGAGTTTGCGCGTCTTCGGTGTCTGCTGGTTTTTCTACGTCCATTCCGCCATCGGTAATCTGATTCTCGCACTTTTTCTCAGGCGAATTACTATCGACGATCTTCTCCGGTGGTTTCGGCGCGCGTCGCTTTCGCCTGCTGCTGTTCCTCGATGTTTCGCGTGCATCTACCTCTGTTGCTTTGATCGAAGTCACTGGAGGATTCGGTGCGCGT